AAATTGTATTTATTGATTCTTGGGTATATTAAATTAAGAAAATCAGCCAAGAATTTATACTGAAATAAATATTGAAACAGCAAAAGCAAAAAAGGAAGAAAGAAAAGTTTACAGTGCAGTGCATCTTTTGTACCCAAGATCCATGCACTGAACCTCTTCAATCCAGGAGACAAAGAGATGTGAGATAAGAGCTGGTGACAGATGGCAAGGAGCAGTGGCATGGAAGTGGAAACAGCAAAAGTCGCATAACCAGAGTGGTGGGCTGCCTAGTCTACGGACTGAGAAAGCGGAGTACTTCCAGGCAAGATTCACACTGGTGCATTAATTAATGGAGGCTGGGAGGCTAAATGGAAGGGGAGCTAATTGGCTGACTCATAGAACTGAGCACCTTGGGACCACATTGAGTCAGCAAAACTGATTTAATAATAGTGTAGTGACAGTTAGCCAAGCAGGGTGGGAGCCAGAGTCACAAGGCTAAGAGGCTGCAAAGCCAGAGAGGTGCCCGTGGGTATGACTGGAAAGAGGCTGAACTGATGGGAAGAGCTGCAACATTTACCTTCTTCGGAAGCCCCACAGTTGTGAGTACAGTACGGTCTGTGAGTTATGCATAGCCATTACAAAATATCCATTACCCATACATTATCAAGCCGGTGACAGAGATGGCTGGTCAGAGCTGGTAAAAAACAAGGGAGGCTAGTAGCATCTTTTACCTCAAAGGAATCAGCCTTGGCTTGACGCTGATGACAATTATTCTCTCTCCTTCTTGTGCGGTGAGAAGAGCGTGGATGCCAAGCCCACTCAATTTGTAGTTTTGTTCATGCAATGAAAACAGATCTGGAATTTGTGAATAGCATATCCTTGATCGTGAACATAGGAATCTATTAATATCCTCTTGACAGTGAAAAGTGAAAGTCATGCTATCAGACTCATAGCAACTCTATAGGACATGGTGGAACTACGCCTGTGGGTTTGGGAACTATAACTCTATATGGGAGTAGAAAACCATATCCTGATACTTCTTCATGGGAGGAATTAATTCATTAATAAAAACCCTAAGGGTGTTGTTGTTTTTTTCTACTTAGAGAAAAGCCCTGTACATTTCTAGCAATTAACTTCTCTGGGAAAACTGATATGGTAGTTAATTCAGGGCTAGACTCAACCTGATATCCACTTAGTTCCTTCTCCCATTTGTTCTAAAGACTCAGACTCCTCTTAATTCTTCAGCATATCTTTACCTCATCTCAGCTCAGTACTCAAATCTTTAATGCAAGAATTTAAAATAGTGAGATGAAAAGTGATCATTTGTATTCACAAATAAGCCCACAGTATAAAATCTGCTGTGCCACAAAGGAAGAAAATCAGGTAAAAAAATGAAAATAAAGATCTGGAAGACAGTTGCTAATTTAAAAAAAATCTAAGTTCATTATTCTCTGTGTTCATTGTCCAAATAGTCATCAGTCACCTGTTTTCCATTTCTGTTAAATATCTTTTAAATCCCTGAAACACAGTATGAGAATCGAAAGTAATTCAAGACCTTCAGATTTATGAAATATACTGTGATTAGAGAAATAATTACTGAAGGAAAAATATGAAGCATTTATAATTTTGATATAGCATTAGTCTTTTAACCTTCTAGACAGGTTTATTAATTTACTATCTGAAATCCTAATGGCTTAGTAATGTTAACTCGCCTCCCAAAATAAACTTTTCTTCATCTTTGGCTTCAAACTTCCTATTCCTATTCCTTTTGATCATGTAGGTAACTGTAGTTTCTAACAAATATAATTAGCGATTTAATGATGATCGTGAAATTATAGAAAAGCTATATAATGTGCGCTTAAAAATGTGGCTGCTGAAGCAGCCTGACTGGGTTTAAAATGCGGTTCCATCAATTGCTGTCCATTCACATCACATCAGGCAAATGTGTCAATTATAAACGTGATGTGTCACAGCTTCAAATCTACCCTGAAATTTCCAAATCTACCCTGAATATTCAATATTGAGAAATTGGAACTGAAGCACGTACATATTTCTCCTTTGGATAGCTGGTACAGGGTTAGCCACTGTCAGTAGTGAGCATAGGAGAGACACTGCAAAGCATAGCCAAGGACGGAAATATTTTCTGTGGACCCAGATGCTAAACCTGAATTTATCAATGATCCCTCTGGCATAGCTGCAAGTGAGGAGGACCCATTTTCTGCCGCCACCGGGCAGGCACTTTTGCAGGAGCCCCAGGGGATGACATTTTCATCAGTCATGGTCTGCTGGCTATTGATAAACACTCCTCGTGGCAGCCTAATGGATTTACCCACCATCCAAAGGGTCATAAGCACCCCTCTCCAGTAAGGTCAGTATCTCAGCACTAGGGTGTGGGACAGAGCAGGATCCACCACATGTGTTCCCTGGTGTGTCCTCTTTAACAGTCAGCGCAGCTGTTCTCCGTCCTTGCCATTTCATTCATATTTGTTCTCTTTGATCTGTTGTTATAGCTAACTGCTTTTTAAACCAAATGAACCACACCTACTATCATTGAGTCAATACCAGTTCACAGCAATCCTAACTAGCTGTTCAAGACTTTGAGGCTCTAAATCTTTCCAGGAGCATCTTTCTCCAACAGAGCACCTGGTGGGTTCAAGTTACTTACCTGGTGCTTAACACCCAATGCCTAACACAGGACACCACCGGGCTCCTGCAGAACTACCTTGGAGTAAAGGAACACCTTCTCTGGCTCCATAGAGTCCCAATTGCACTGTACTGACACCTCGGGTCTTCCTTTAATCATAATACATGACTACTAAATAAAAGTATATCGTATCTATAGATAGAACGTATTGAGGGGAAAGATCTCATTTCACTCTTTACCGAAGCCCTTGGAATAGAACAGGCTTTCATTCAATGAATGGTTTTGGAAATTATTTTGCAAATTTACCATCATTCGGCATGGCCCGATTGTTTTCATCATTCATGTTCCAGCCTTACATAGTTTGCTGACAGTCTTCTTGCTTGGTGCGCCATTCCCTGCCCCTCCATTGCCTGGACGGGAAACCAGTATGGCTTTCTTTTTCATTTTTTCAAGAAAACATGATGCTCCTTTCTTGCTTGCCTTTCTTCGTTACATTCATGAGCCCATTTAATTAGGTATTTTGCAAAGCTTTATCCATGGACACCACTTCCTTCCTTTTCCTTTATGAACTTCCCAGGAATACTAAGATAACTTTGAAATAATATAGATAACAGTCCGTATGTATATTTTGGAAAGTAAGTATTTCCATTTCAAAAGGGGATACTAAGAGGAGAATTTCAAAGATTATAGAATAAATCTAATTAGCTGTGATCTATAATCTTGTGAATCACAGCTAAAACTATGTAGCCACTCTATCCCCAGGACTGACTACATAAGTTTATGACCACGTATTGATACGCCATGTTGTGAAAGGAGAACACCATAACATTGTATAGAGCCCTCTGCCAGACCTGGTAGTCAAACACCAATTGTTCAGAGTAGCAACAGAGTCATCTTGTGCAATCAAAAACACCAGCGCATAAAAATAATAAATTCTTGGGTGGGTGAAAGGAAACATCAGACAGTGCAAGACATGAAAAAATAATAATTTATAAACTATCAAGGGTTTGTGACGTAGGGAGTGGGGAGTGAGAGGGTGGAAATGAGGAGCTGATACCAAGGGCTCAAGCAGAAAGCCAATGTTTTGAGAATGATGATGGCAACAAATGTACAAAGGTGCTTGACACAATGGATGGATGGATGGATTGTGATAAGAGTTGTACGAGCCCCCATTAAATTATTCAAAAAAATAATAAATTCTTGTTCTCATCTTTAGCATACAACTTGCAGTTATGTCTAATTAAATTCCAAAAGAACAAAACTGAAAATTAAAATGTTGCCTTCTTCTACCGACCACAGGTACAAAGTTAATCTGGTTTCCTTTAAATTGCAAGTCCTTTCAGTTGTGCAGAGTTCTCAAGTTTGATAGTATTTATTAAGCAAGCAACACTCCATTGAGTCTTATATGACTTTACTCTTTACATTATAAGCCAGTAAACATATACACATAAGTCTTCATGGGAGAAGTCACCAACTTTCACTCACCACAGTGGGCTTCTCTTGTTCCGTTAGGGGAGCCGGGTATGAAATCACAGACCTTGCTAGATGGAATACTGTCTGCATCTTCACGGGACACAAATCCAACTTAAAATGAAGAGATAAAGGTAAGAAAACATTTTCTTTCTCTTCCAAAAAATACATAGAATACATGATAGTTTCATGAACACTCATTTGAATACATGGATGCTGAAGATGAGAGCTTCAGAAAAGGCCAGAACATATTTGCTATGTTCATCACATCCCATGTGTTGTCATAATGTGCTCTGTGCTTCAAAAGAAAGTCTTTCTTCAAAATAAAAAAAAGAAAAAAAAAAGACTACTGCTCTAAGGACATCCAGGAGTGGTAGAGCCATGAGGAAGTCAATGAATTCTTCAAAGTCTTTCATGCAAGCTTCCTATTGTTGACAACTGAAGTCCAGCTCATTGCACCCAGAGCTGTAAAAGAACCTTGTAGGGTGTGGGGGTAGATTGCCAAGTCTTTCTTATGCAGTGTCACCAGCTGGGATTGAAACATCAACTCTTACAACACAAGTGCAAAATGTTGTGTCAACCAACTCCACTACTAATACCTGGAATCCAACTTGGTTTCGGAGCAAATGAGCAGACGGTCTCCTCTTTCTATCTTTTCTCCTAAACGAGGCTGCTGGGTTTTTAAAGAATCTCCTCCATGTTACTGGGGGGAGAGGTCTCAGTTATAGACCTTGATATCTAATATTTTTACTTTTTTAGGTTTCATGGATATACGACAAGATCCAGATTATAGAATTGACATGAATGAGTTGTAATATAAAGGCATTCTAGTATATATATATATATGTTTCCTTATCAAGAACTATTCATTGTGATGTTTAAAATTCCAGTCATAGAAATACCTTACCTTTAGGTTGTGTGCTGGTACCTGGAAGTGACTTATGTGAACGTCCACATTCCTGGGAAACACTGATGTCATCTACAGCAACTGTAGCATTTGATGATAAGACCGTGGCTTCTAAAATTAACTAGAGTTACAAAAAGATAAAATTGTTTCCAATTTCCATAAAAGAAGTTCATTTGCATCCATCTTATCTCCCTATCTATTGAAAATTATTTTGACAAGGATATTCAGATTTTAAATGGACAAATTTATATGGCGTTGACGGCAACTTTCAGAGCCTTGCAATGTTAGATAACCTTGTTTCAATGAAACATTATAACATTCATCCCCACTGAAGGGCTGCCTTCCCAATGGAGCCATTAAACATCCTATGCATTTAAAATGAGCTCTTTGGGGTAATCATCTGTGTGCTTTATAACTCAACTTAATTGAGATATGAATTCATTTGGAGTTGGTCTGCTGGCAGCAACAACTCATTTCTACATCAGAATATTTAGATATTGACATGTATTATGCATACATGAACAGAAAGATACGTAACAAGGTAAAGCCCACCATCAATAACCACACTCAGGGGTTAAAAACATGCAAACCCAAAGCCTTCTGAGGCATCTCTGTAGCTTTAATTCATTCTAAGACTATGGCTGATGACTGATATCCTTTACTTTCTTTCTTGTTAATGACTCACAGTATTCTGTTGGTATTTCATAAGATAGCAGAAAGAAGGTGCGAAATTAGTTAATTTAGGGCAGAGAACAGGACCAACCCAATCCATGACCCAGATTCTAGGTAGCTGGCTCCATTTGATTAGGAAAGCTCTCAAACATCCAGGACTTTATAATTTAGTCTGTAAGATATGTTAGCAACCCAGGCACACAGTAAGTTCTATAGAAAAGGAATATATACAATATAAGGAGGGTTTTAAAAATACTTCCCGTTTATAGCTATTACCTAAGATTGAGATACTTTGTGAAATGGAGGTAACAATCTAAGCAAATGCACAGATATGAAAGGGGGGTGCTACATGAAAAGAATTGTAGCTGGGTGTGATTAAGAGTATGGGATTTAGAGTATGGAAAACAGATGGAAAGAACAATTGTGTGAATTGATGCAGCCGCATTAAAGAACAACTTAAGACAAGATTAAATAGACTACAAATTTAAGCCCACCTTGCAGTATTTACTCTGAACGAATATGGATATCAAAGCGAGTAATAAAAGTAAATGACTGGAACCACTTACATATTTATCAATCAATAAATTTATCAATCAATAATTGTTATCAATCCATAAATGTTAGTGGAACTGCTTTAATATTTATCAATCAATAAGTATGAATGTAGCCTATGGACTATTGTGCTAGAATTTTAAAATAATATTTGTTTTTATATACTAATAAAAGAAAAACTTCAACATACATATTTTAGTAAGTCAATGAATAGATCACAGAAAAACCTACAATATTAGTTGGCTAAAAACAGAATAATTGAGGTTTTTAGATATAAAATTGAAATAAACATGCATATTAAATCATACAGAAGAGATTGGAAATAAACATAAACTAGTACCAAAAGTTACTTCAAGATGAAGATTATACTAAGAAGTTAGATTAGTCAAGAGAACCGATTGCTTTGTCTACAAGTTTTTATGCTTTTTAATGAGGGGTATATATACTAATAATCTTTTACATTCTGGCTAGAGGTAGTTTCTGTAGAATCTAACTAAAGAACTTGAGCTTCAAGCTAGAATCAGAAAAGAAGCAAACTAGGTTTTAAAGGAGGATTTTGAGAAAATTTATATAAGCATGATCATTTAGAAATATATTATTATGCAAAACACCATTGAATTATTGGAATTTATTTCTAAACAACTTTGAATGAATGCTACTTTTATTCATTATTATGCAGCATTTAACATTGAATTTGATTAAACTATAGTTAATTTTTCATATTGTTGAAATGAACATTGGTGGAGAATCACATTTGAAGGCCTGTGGTACTGGAGGAAAAATAGCACATTCATGATGTTTCTTTGTGGTCCAAAAAGCCATGAGCTCTTATTTTCGAAAGAGCTGGGCAGGGCCTGGGATTGAGTAAGGGCTTCCAGAAGATGTGGCCTTTCAGCACTGATGACCTCCTCCTGCCCAAAGGGGATCATCAGACCCTTGTAGTTTCTCATGCTAAAACATAGGTAAAATACCCCCACAAACTTCCAAAAGCAAATAAAAGTGATACTAGCCAATCTATAGTTTTGTTTCCTTACTTTCATGTAATAAAATTCAGGACCATATAGTGAATGACTATAATTCTACCATTAATTAACAACACCCAAATTTAAAAATAAAAATGGTTATGTCATCTTCAATTTACATAGATACAATATATATGTAGATAGATATAGATATTTTATCTATATAATATAGATATTTTCTATTATCTATATAATATAGATATTTTCTATCTGTAAAAACAATCCATGGAAGAAACAAAAAGATAATCTGGGCTCATTAAAAATAAAGCCACCTACCAAAAGAACAAACAAATCTGTCTTGGAAGAAGTACAGCCAGAGTGCTCCTTAAATGCAAGCCTGGTGAGACTTCCTCTCATGTATTCTGGACATGATGTCAGGACAGACCAGTCCGTGGGGAAGGAGCATGCTCAGTGAAGCAGAGGAGCAGTGAACAGAGGAAGAGCCTCTACCCGATGGACCGGCACAGCAGCTGCATCAGTGGGCTCAAACATCAGAACGGTGGTGAGGATGGCAAAAGAGCAGGCGGAGCTTTCTTCTGCTGTACAGAGGGCCGCACGGAGTTGGACCCAACTCTGCAGAACCTCAATGCTGTCCTGACTGTTCCTATCATTAATTACGCGGTTTAAGCAAACAGATACTAGGATATAATCAAATGGACTTCTTTTTGGGACCTCGCATCTACATTAATAATCAGAAAATGAGAAAGTGGTTGCTTAAAAGGGGCATTTCAACTATGGATAAGAAACTTATAGATTTTCAAGGTAATCTGGGAATTTAAATTTCTTTCCTTTTTAATTCCACTTTTTAAGGATCTGGTTGAGCTTTATTTATTTAAGTTTATATTATGCTTAGCCCACTCTCCTCTGAGTGACCAAAATAATTTATTAGTTTTGCTTCTGTGATTGGCAACACCTTGTAAATTGTGAAAAGATGAAATGATTACATTTTTCACATAATCAAATCTGAGGGAAACCTTCCAGAAATATATTCAGCTAGAATATTTAAGTGTTTTCTTGTTTTTAAAAAGAAAAACAAGTAAGTAGAATCAATTGCTTTTTGACAAAGGAGCAAAGACAATTCAAAGGAGAAATAAGTCTTTTCAATGAATGATGCTGAAACAACTAAACATCCACATACCCCATATCAAAGGAGGTAAAAGGAATCTAGGAACAGAATTTACATCTCTCACAAAATTATCATAAGCTATCAGATATAAATGTGATGCATAAAAATTAAGCATTGCCAGGGGATGACATAGGAGAACACTTAAGAGTGCTTGGCTTTAAACAGTAATATTTAGATATAATATCAAAAATACAATCCATGAGAAAATTATAATCTGGCTTCATTAAAACTAAAAAAAAGTCTGCTCCAAAAAATAAATAAAATGTGTGCTTCCACAAAGGGCACTATTAAGAAAAGGAAAAGACAAACCATGAAAAGTAAAAAAATCCTTATAGAGCATATTCCTGATAGAAAAATATTTATTAATACAAGTGTGGTAGTTACATAATCTGGTATCAATTTATGAAGGGTGGTGTCTAGCCTGTCAATTGGGTGGCAACTTGATGTCCTCATATGGAGGCATGAAGGAGATAAATAGCTCACTGGAGGTGGGACACACACTCACTCCCTGCGAGACAGCCTTGTTGACAAGACACATGGAGCTACACTAGAGCCCTGGAGCTGAAGGAGTCACATGGAGACCCCTGCCAGCTTCCTCTACCACTGGATCCACAAGACTCTCTACTCACTGGCCTGTGATCTTCCAGCACTCGCCATCATTGCATGTGTTTTGTGAGTCTGAAGAGGACTTTATAGACTGGTACTGGACATATGAGCTAATATCGGACTTATGGACTTGATATGGACTGGACTGTTTTCTCAATATTGAATTACTCTTGTATATAAAGCTCTTTCTTATACACATATGGGTGTCTGTGAAGTTGTTTCTCTAGTCAACCCAGACTAACACAACAAGTATACAAAAGAATTCTTAAAGTGCCATAAGTAAAAGAAGTTTTTAAAGAGGCTAATGATCTGAACAGATTCCTCACCAAGAAAGACATCCAAATTATCAAAGAAGACAAAAATGCTGAATATCATATATCATTATAGAATAACAAATATCAAATACCAAAGACAAGAAACCATTTTTATTTGAATGACTAAAATCTGAAAAACTGACAATACCATATTCTGGCAAAGATGTGGAACAGCAGGAATCGTCATGTCTTGTAGTCTTATTATATGATCCAGCAATCACCCTCGTAGTTGTTTTCCAAATGAGTTGAAACTTTATGGATGTACAAAAGCTGCACAGGAAGGTGTATAGCACCTTTACTTATAATAGCTAAAATTTGGAGGCAGCCAAATGACCTTTAACAGGATAAAGAAACGATGGTGTTGCCATATCATGGAATATTATTCTTTTCAGGAAAGAAGTGAGCTATTAAATCACAGAAGGACATGAAGGGATCAACATACATAATACCAAATGAATAAAGTCCATCTGAAAAGACCGTATATACTGCATGATTCCAAATATATTATATTCCAGGAGTTTCTAAGGAAGTGCAAGGGTGAAAAGAATAGTGCGGTCATAGGGAATGTATAAGGCAGTGAAATCACTGTGTGTGATATTGTAGTGGTAGGCACATAGCATTAAGCATTTGTCAAAGCCCATAGAACTATATAACACAATGAGTAATTTTGATGTAGACTGCAGACTTTGTGTTGATATTATTGATACGCAATACACAAGACAAAATGTACCAATATTGGTTTACTGGTTACAACATTTAGTTCATCACAGAAAGATATTTATAATAGGGAAAATTGTGTCTAGAGATGGGGTACTATAGGAGATCTCTG